CGGGGCATAGAGGACCTACAATAATGTACAGTATTTGAAAAATAATGTGTTTTTTGAACATTAAAGCATGTCAACATATTCTGTTACACCAAATACACAAAATAATGATCTTTAAAAAAGAATCTTAATTTTTTTTTTTTTACAATATGAGGTGACCTGCTTTATGTAAAACATAACAGATTTTATAAATCTACATCATGTGAGTGGACATAATATGAAATATTTTTTAAAACAATTTCTGTTTTCAAAACATTTAAATCGGGACATTACTTATACATTAAAATAGAAATACTGGAAAAATGAATGTACCCATTCTTACAAACAACAAAAAAAGGGTATGTTTACTTATTTAGTTACTGGGATTCACAAAAAAAAACTGACGCTATTACCAGCATGCAAGTTAATATTTGGCTTATGTTTAATTAAATGAAATTAGTAAAGTGTTTTAAGGGGAAAAACAATTATATCATATAAATTAAGTTTTGGACAACGGATACTTGACACAAAAATGTACGTTTTGTGACAATAAAATAAAAAATTACAGCATTAAGTTCTATATGTTCATACTATATTGTGCACCAAAAACAAAAATGTCATTAATAAAAAGTTATGAAATTTCAAACCTGTACTGAAATGTATTTGTGTCTCTTTTCCCTGCCATCTCAATGAATAGAGAAATGGAGCTTTGCAGCTTCAGAGGAGATTGTTTTAGAACTTCAAAAGAATTCAAATTCACACAAGCCATATTTTGTGATGCTTTTGGAGCTTAAAAAGCCTCATTCCCCATTTATTGTAATTGTTTGGAAAAGAGCCATCATTAAGCTATATCATGCAACATGCTTAATTTTCTTATCTATGGAAGAAGAAGGTCAAATGTGTTTAGATCAACAAAGGTGAGGAAATGTTGACAGATCTTTTAGTGTATTTTCCTTTTATCTCATTTAAAGTCCATCTGAAATGCACTTTTCTCAATTCTGTAAATAAAGTACCACAAATTAGCATCTTGTCAACTAAGGTGTCCCTGTGTTATTTTGATTCTTTC